TATATCCATGTCCCTAATATTAAGTTGGTTGTTGCATGTACAAGTAATCATTCAGCTATTAGAAGAATACCTGAGATGGATGGAAAAATATTCTTTTGAGATAAGTATATGGTATGTATCATACATATATTATATATCAAACACATATATTTACTCTATGCCATATACTCTGCTAAGTGCTTAGATGTGTCTATTTGTTTACTCTAAAAGAAACCTTAAAAATCTTTAATCTAAAAGAAACTTGCTGTGGAAGCATATGACACCATAATCTCCTTTCCAAAGATGAAACAACTAAAACTCTGTGAGATAGAGGGATTCCCTTCTTGGTGGGAGTCTGGGTGGGAGCCAAGGTGCTCTGACCATACTAGGCCTCAAGGTCATTCTTGCTTAGGATCATCCCCACTTCCTTCCTCTTCACCCTTAGCACAGCCTGAGTTTAGTGGGGGAACTTCAGAGTGTGACAAGTAATAGAAATAAAAGCTTATTATCTATGATTTGCTACTTTTTTTCTTCCTGATTAAAAACTCAGAATTTAATGTTGTTTGTATTAGCTCTGTTTTTAAAGTGCTTGATAACATATTAGGTTTTTAAAGTCCTCACAACAATCACATGAAGTATTTTTTTATTGTTATGTTGATTCTCATGATGAGATGGTTAAACTGAGGCCCAAAGTCAAGCAGATGATATATAGAAGTCCTAGCATCCAAATCCCAGTCCACTGAATTGCAAAATCCATCACCCTGACCACTGTGAGATAGCACCCTCTTCCAGGCCTTCTAACAGGATGCTGGTGCTGTTTTCAGCTATTCATCATAATTAGTGGCATGGCTAATGCTGTCTAAACCATAGCTAGAGGAGGTAGTGACTTTCCTTCCTCTATGTTAAGCAGGTTGTATGAAAATGAAATTTACAACCTTGATATATTTAGGTGCACATGCTAAGCAACTGAACAACTGGTGAGAGTAAGGTCAGGGTTCTCTGTAAGGTGATGTAACTGCATCTCTTCCCACCTCCCTAAATTCCAGAGCTCCTTCCATCCCAGACCCACTTTTGTGATGATAATTGATTTAACAATTCATCTTAGGAGAGGTCATGAATGGGAGTTTTGCATCTACTTATTTCCATGTGATTTGGGAGGATAGGTTTTGTCAGCCATGGGATTTGTTTCAGCTCATGTGAAACCCCAGTCCAGTTTATGAGGCAACCCACTTCTGAGCTAAAGAAGATACAGGTTACATATAATAGTCACTGCTCTTTCTAAAATTACACAATAGCATTGGAACAAAACCACTGAGAAAAATCATACATCTGGAAGGAAGTCTGTTTCTTGCAATTATACACAGTGTTTTTAGTTTGGAAGACTGTGGGGAATATAATGCAATTTCTTTAGACTTCATGATTTTATCAGATGACTTTCTAAAAATCTTTCCTTGGAACAAATTCTTTACACATTGGAAGACTGGTATATTTCTTTTTGTTTGTTTGAGGTCACTACACAGAGGGTAAGCTGTATAGGAAGGAAAGTTGTAAGAGAACATTTAATAACCAGAGTCGAGTCGCATTTCAGCAACAGGATGGTTCCTTATCCAGGAGAAGCATGTTCAGATTGTGTTTTTTCATCTCAGGCTGTTCCATGCAAATGTGTCTTGGCCTAACCTCCCCCCACCCCAGATCTGTTAGTTGTTCTTGCAGGGTGGTACTTTCCTGCCCTTGGTCAAATTTGAAGCAGAGACCTGGCTTAGTCCAGTGGAGTGTGAAACTGACATCTCAGTGAACTGTGGGCAATCAGGCAAGGTTGTTAGGTGTCTAAGAATAAGAAAGGGAGGGACTGGGGAGATGGCTCAGTGGAATAAGTGCTTCCCTGGCGAGCCCAAGGGCCTGAGTTTAATCCCTGGTTCGGAAAAAAAAAGAAAAAAGAAAAAGAATAAGGATGGGTCATGACTGAGTGTGATAAAGACAAATCCTATCAAGAAGTAAGCTTGATGTTAGACATTGGGAGAATTGAAAACAGCACACTTTACAGAAGAAGCTATAAATTCAAGGATGATTTCTTTCTTTATTTTTTTTATGGTACCAGGAATTGAACTCAGGACCCCGCACTTGCCAGGCAAACGCTTATTCTACTGAGCTATCTCCCAAGGCCCAAGGATGCTTTATTTAGTAGAATATTTATTTGAGACCCTAACTATATTAATAATGAATAGAAGTAGTTATTTTATATGAAATGATACTTAAAGAAAGGAATGAGATTTTTTCTTTTGTATAACAATACATTATATTCAAAATAAACTATGTAAATCTTTACATCATATATATACTTACCTGAAAATTTAAATGAAGAAGAATCTATCAGTAATGACCTAGTTTGGCCCTTAAGCTTTTCATGTAAAGTATTTTCAATTGATTCCCATAATTTTGCTGCACCATTTTGATAACTGGATTTAAATTTCAGCACAACATGTATTACCACTTTTCCTTTGACTTTGCTGCAAAATATAAAGAAACAGATTTTTATTTTATTACTGAACTTCTGTCACGTTTAGTGGAGGAATAGTGAGTTTCTAAACAAGTAGAAGGTAAGGGAATAGCGAAGGGGAATGATTTTATCACAAGGTAGCAAAAGTAGCATTCTGTGGACACAATGTAACAGTGTACAGTGTGACTTAAGCTCAGGGGATAAAGTTTGTATTTTAGATCTATTGCCCACTTCTTGGCTACAGCTACCTATTGGCATTCTCTTTACCCGAGTTTCCTCCTTTCTCAAATGATGACAACCGTATTTTCTGAGTTATCATAAGCATCACTATAGAATATATATATATATATATATATATATATATATATATATATATATATATCTTCTGGAGAAGAGATATAGGGATATTTGGAGAATTTCAGAATATAGAACAAAATTATTATATAGATACGTTATAACTCCACTTATAGACTCTGTGAAAAGAGTTAATAGAAAATAATAACATAAAAAAGAGCTGGAAATGACAGAAAAATTTATTATGTTGGTTTGTGTTTAATTGAGGAACAATTTGCAATATTGCTCTATTTGAATTTTAACTTTTGGGAATCAGGACTGAGAGAAAAACTAGACTTATCTAGTTTATCATTCTGACTTAAAGATACAAAAATAAAAGCCAGAAATTAAATTTAATTATAGTTTTGGTTTTATGACACAGGGTCTTGTTTTGTAATTCAGACTGGATTTAACTTGCTGTATAATCCCGGCTGCCCTCGAACTTCCTGTGTTCCTCCTGCTTCAGCCTCCTGAGTGCTGCGATTACAGGCGTACACCACCACACAAGGTTTAAATCAGCAGTAGCCACTACTGACTCGATGGAATGTTTGATCTGTCCTGTTCTGTCTTCTTATGCTTCTTTACCATTTCCTAAGCATTTCCAGAATTTGCACAACTGAAAATCAAGAAACTGGAATGCTATGTAATTAAAGAAGATCCCAAAACACATACTTCCCAAACTTGTGAGCAAAAATATAAGCCATGTCCAAGATTTATGTTTTTCTCAGTGACAATATTGTCTTATTTAAATATTTTTTAATTGAAACATTAAGGGTAGATGTTAATTTCTGTGTCACAGTTTTTCAGTTTATAAAGTATAAATGTACCACAGATCCTTCCTTTGGGGGCATTATTTTTATATCTTTTGTATAGTATTGAGCCATTAATAATTTTACATCAATTTATTAAGTATTTTCATCTCTGCTTTTACATTCTCTCAGGTGAAATGCGGGACAATCCCTTCATTGTTTATAGAAAGACAAGGACATAATTTTCTTGTAAATATTTTGGTAAACTACAAATGTCACTCTGAACTTTTTGCATGGATCAAATAACAGTCTGAAACCAAACTAAATATAGACATATGAATCGTTATTCTGATGCCATTAGAATTGAAGGATCCTGTTTACTGTTGAAAACGGCAACTAAGGGTCATTTTTCTTTTAACTTATCCTGATTCATAAAATTATGTTTAATTTTATTGACAATATCTGCAGTTGTTTCCCACAGGCAGTTTTGCTTTCTATCTTTACACCTTGTATCTGCTAGTTCATGTAACAGTTGTGTCCTAGCACAAAAATATGCCGGACAGAGCTCTCGATGCCCAAGCTACATCAGCACATAGGCCACGAGGCTCCTGGTCAGACGCTGTTCATGTCCTTGTACAGACAGCTCTGGGCAAGCCTCCTTGAAGTGAGACCTGAACGATCAGAAGAAATAGGTCATGATAATCTGAGGACGGATATTCTGGGAAAAAGCGAGCCACCAATTCCATCGGCTTTATTAACTCAGCTTTGTGATGCCCACAGCCCCTGTTCTGTCCTCCTGTAGAACATGTGCTTTATATACCTTGTAATTATGAATTCTTTCTTAGTTTCTTTGAAATGTGTGTTCATCTTTTAAGAACACTTGCCAATTTTAGAACCTTGGCAATGCCAGTTCCAAGGGCCTGAAAGCAAAGGCAGGCATTTATTCTTTCTTTAGGACAGCCAATTAGTATGCAGATGGGTAAGCTGTCCTTCCCATCTTTGCCTTTACAGCTCTGCCACCTCTTGCTTCAGCAGAGTGAGGACTCGGTTCTGGCCCTTTCATCTTCTGAGTCTGTGTAACTTTGTCCAGTGCTGTCTTTGTTTGATGGCTTTGTGGTAGGAACTCCTACAGTGAGTTTGCTGGAAGAATAGTAAAGCCAGTGCAGATGTACATTTGTGAGGGAGAACAAGGAGGCCACGAGAGGAGCTCAGGGAAGGGCGCTGTGGGAAGGAGAGGAGTTAGGTGGGGAGCTGGGTTTTGTGGGAAGCTGTCAGGAGGCAGTGAGCAGGGAGTGGCACACTTTTCCAGATTTTTTTTGGCACTATGTGGAGAATGAATTATAGTTATGCAGGACCAAAAGCTGGAGATTAGATAAATTAGTAGTGTGATCCAGATAGATGCCTGGGGTCAAGTTATTTATGAAATGTGCCACCTTGGCAAGACACTTACCCTATCTTGGCTTTAGTGTATTCATCTGTAAAATGTGAAACTAGTAAAAAGAAATCATATAGGCTTGTAGATAAATTAAATAAGTTCTAAGGAGATAGTCGCTAAGAGCATTAAAAACAAACCAGGAATTACTTAAATATAAACCAAGAAAATACAATACCATCTGCTATACTTTCATGCATGAATGGATTTCAAATCATATTAACTTCCCTACATGTGTGTATCTGTTATTTTTCCCTTCTACATTTATAAAAGAAATTACTTCTGATTTATGTGCCATTTTTACCCTATTAAATAATGTTACTCTCTTCGGAAATGTTACCATCCAGTGCTTTCCTTTTTATGTTCAGTATTGTCATCACCTGTTTTCTTTGTTTAGTCACTCCCTCTTTGTTCACTGAAGGTTTGGTATAAAGAGCAAGAGTAAATTTAAATGGTCACTTAGTTCAAGAGCCCTTTCAGCAGTCTCCAAATAGACAATGAAAAGCTAGAGAAATGTAGTGACTCAGCTCCCAACAGAATAAAAGCACAGAATTTGTGTCTTGACAAGTTTTGTTTCACAGATCTTTGAAATTTTCATAGTAAAGATGGACAGAAATAAAAAAAAAAACAAAAACAAATAATGTTACTCTGGAAAAACACATCTCCTTGTTTACTTTTTTATTTTTTTGTAGACACTAAAAACAATTATATTTCATATTTACTGTAGCCATAGAGATTTTATTAGAAATAATAAGTAATGTATTTTGCTATAGACTTAATTTAATTAAAACACTTAATGTAAGTCTTAAATATATCCAGTCAGATTTTCTAATTGAATTTAAAAAATATACCCAGAGTTGGGGGAGAAAAATTTAGGATTATATATATTGGTTTAGTGTTGCTCATATTTAAATAGGTATATTTTAAAAATGTTGGCAGTTGTAGCATGTCGAAGTTGAGTTTTTTGGTAAAATTTCATGTAATTTTTGTCACAGGGCTATAAAATTGTTGTCTTTCAAGAGTGTCTTCCCTTGCAGGAATGGTTTACTAATCTAATTTGAAAGTTATCTTTTGTTCCTGGAGAGACTTTCCCTTCCCTAAGAACACTAAAGAATAATTTAAAATATGATCTTAGTTTATGCTTCTGTGTTTCTCTTCCCAATTTAGATTTTTCACAGGGTGATAAAGGTAGTTATTTTGCTCCTAAGGGTAGAGGTGGAGGGGCTTCCAGAGGCTCAGATCCATCCTTGACTATCTGAATTTGTTTGCCTGTCTACCATAAAGGGAGTTGAGAAAAGCTCATAAGAATGGAAAAATAAGATTATTTACAGTTTAGCTAAATTCTGAACTATTTTGACAATATCAATATGTAATGTAATAGTCATTTTAAATTTCCTATTGTCTTGTTTTGAAATTTTTTATTATTGTCTTTAAAATAATAATAATAAAAAGTTTATCCAAACTGGGAAGATAGTGGGTCTGCCCTCACCTGAGCCTACAGCTGCAGTCTAATTTATGGATGGCTCACAACTAAAGCCAGGAAACACATGTGTGCATTTAACCACGCTCCAACCCACAGAGGCTGGGAGATGCTGAAGATCCGCTTCTGTTGAAGCCATCTTGAGCTGGGCTAGGAATGGCAGTTTCTGCCCTCAGCATGAAGAAGCTGGAAAAATAGCTTTATTATTTTTTAAACCCTAAGTTTTGATGGTCCATTTTAACCTCTTGGTTATACTAGAAAGCTTAATTCTTAGCCCCAGTAGGTTATCAAGCACATACTTGATCTGTAACATTTTAATGGTTAATGATGCTAATACCAAACATCAAGGGAAAAGACAGTAAATTTAATTCACAAAAGCAGAAGGGGCCATGATCCATTTTACTGAGCATGTTAAAAAAATAAATCGGGGGCCAGGGAAATAGCTCAGTAGAATAAGCACTTCCCTGGCAAGCACAAGGGCTGGAGTTCAATCCCTGGTTCCACCAAAAGAAAAAAAAATCATAAAGTACCTGAATTAATCTCCCTGCAAGGCAGAGCAAGTTATATCTTCCTTGGCTTCTAGCTCATGCCTCAGCTTTTCTTCCTCCAGAGTCTTACACTGTCTGCATCAGTTTGCTTGGTTGGCATCTAGATAGATGTTCTGCTAGAGTTTAGAAACTAGAGGCTCCTATACCTAGGTTATCTTCTCCAATCCTTGTTTTTCCCATGACACATTAGCTAAAGGCACCAGCAGCCAATTTAATTGCTTAATTTATTTTTCAATTACTCAGGAGGATAGAAATCATATATTATTCATGTTAAGACACAGTATCATTCAACAGAGCTCAGCACAGCTCCTTGTCCATGAGTAAATTATATGTGTTCTAAACACTGAATCCATTAACTGTATTATAAGCTTACACAAGGATTCTTCAGGGTATTATCTCCTGTTGGGTTTTCATGACCTAGCACAAATAAAAAAAGACACCTCTCACTTAACCTTCATCTGATACTCATAATCAGGTAGAAATCATTGGTGCAGTTTAATGTTTTTTTTTTTTAGAGGAAAACAAAAACAAAAATAAAAAGAACAATGAAAGCAACATAAAGCAATATAAATGGTACAGAGTTTCAAAAGAAGAATAGAAAATTGACAATGGTTATCATAATAAGTTTTGGATAGACTTTAAATACTTTTTTCTTCCATATTTGAAGTGCTTGAGGTTTAATCAAGCAAATTCAAACTTATTTCAACCTTTAATTGTTGTCAAGGAAACAAATATCCTGGTGAATATGAAAAAAGAAATGGAAGGGTGAAACTCTATCTCCAGTCTAATGTACATATCTTACTTGGACAACATGAGATTTGACATAGTGCCTTTTCAGTTTGCATTCATTAAATGTTTCATTTACCTATTAGAAAAGTAAAATAGATAATGAGGTATGCTTTCCTTTAAAAAAATTCATTTTGGAAAACTTCAAATATACAAACACAAATAGAATATTACAACGAACCAAGGAGCCATCATTCAGCTTGGTCAGTTATCGATGCTCAGCTAAGTCTGTTTCATTTCACTTCTTTGTATCTTACACAAATTAAATGATTCTTTAGTGTCAAATATTCAGTGTTCACATTCTTCCAGCTTATGGGAAACAGCATGATAGGGAAGACTACTAAGAGATGAATTCAAAAGACCACTCACATTGACTGTCTTCCATATGCAAACTTTCACTGAATATCAATGCAATGAAACTTAATAGAAATGTTCTCAGAGATATTTCTATCTTTTTTCTTTTACACAATGGCCAACTCCTATATTGCCTAGTTCTTAATGTATTTTTCCTATTTTTTCAATTATATGTTATTGATGTGTATAAAATGTGGTGCCTTAATTACTTTTTTATTCTTAAAAGAGGAGATTTTTTTTTTTAATTTTAGGGAAGGGTCTGAAGGGTGTTCAGGGTCTCACTGCTAGATCAGACTTGCAGTGATCCACCTGTTTACAGCCTCCCAAGAGTTGAGATTACAGGCCTGCGCTCAGTCTTAGTTGCTGTCTAAGTGCACCTCAGGGGCAGGGCTGGCACTCCAGGCCCTGGATTGAACCCCTGGCCCCTGTGCCTGCTTGCAGACACTTTAATCAAGGAGAGTTAAAAAAATTTTTTTTGGTAACTTTTTGGGGGCATCTTTTTGAGACAGGGTCCCTCTATGCAGTTCACGCTGGCCTTAAGCTCACTTTGTATCCTAGGCTGGTCTCAAACTAGGAATGATCCACCTGCCTCTGCCTCCAGAGTTCTGGGATTACAGGCATGTGCCACCATGCCCAGCCCCAAAGGAGGGGTTTATTTTGGCTCACAGTATGTAGAATTTTCAGTCCATTGTTGGCTGACTCCAGGGTAGGGTGGCATGGCAGAAGAGAAAGCGCTGGCGGCATGGTGGTGGAAAGCAGAGAGAAGGATCAAGGGAAGATTGGGGAAGAGATAGATCTAGGTCACGCCCCAGTGGCCCACCTCCTCTAACCAGGTTTCACCTCCCAAGTCCCATTTAGCTGTATGGATTACCCACTGATGAGTATCATGTTCCCATGGCAGATCACTTCCCCAAGCACCCTGTATGAATGCATGAGACTCTGAGGGAACAGCTGGATGTAAATCTAACATGTGGTGATAGTAATCTCTTAGAAACATCTCAGGGCCGGGGAGATGGCTCAGTGGAATAAACATCCCTGGCAAGCACAATGGCCTAAGTTCAATCCCTGGTTCCACAAAAACAAAACAAAACAAAACAAAACAAAAAACAAAACAAAACAAAACAAAACAAAACAAAAAAAACCGAAAAAAAAAAGAAACATTTCATGACAATCACATTCTCAGTTACTGTCTGTTACAACTCTTCAATCTAATGGATGGCTTCTTGCAGCAGGACCTTAACACATCACCAGACAATAAATTAAACGCTCCATGGCTTTTGCTTTGAGAAGACAGGCCTCATTAAAACGTAATTTGTTAGAATTGACAAATTTATATTTTTTCTTTTGTCCCAAAGCCATTGGCATGTGCTATGATATTCAATATATATTATATAGAATGCAACTATGAGCAAGATAGGTAAGAATCACATTTTCATGTTGATTCAGTGAGGGAAGAAATAAAGAACATATCAAGAAATAAATATATGATAACCTGTGACAGTACTAAGTAGTATAAAGAATATAAAATATGATATAAATTGCTTCAAAAAACAGTATTTAAGTGATCAAATTAGGACCCTTTGAAGAGGTGACATTTGAGTGAGACCTTAAGTTGCAAAACTGATAATTAAGAAGAGAGATGAGCAGTTTTCCAGATGGAGCTGTCAGCAGGTGTGAGAGCCTATAGAAATGAAATTGGTATATTTGAGGGATAAAAGCAAAGTCATTGTGATTCAAGTTCCATGAAAAAATGATAAAGCATTTAAATCCAATTTTCCCAGGTAGGTAGGAATGTGATTACAGAGAAGTTTGAATGTTATTTCTAGGGCTGAGGAGATAGTTCAGCAGCTTAAGCACCTATTTCAATGTTATTTCTAAATGTAGTAATTGCCAAAATCCTGAAAACATGATAATTAAAGTAAATTCTATTTTTTTTTTCAATTTTAGTTCCTCTATATTTGCCTCTATTAGGTCCAGATATAATTGAGATTTTGTAAAGTCAAGGAACCAAGCAGATGATTAAGAACCTTTTCTCTCTTTAATCTGGCAAGAACGCTAAGATCAGTCTGAAAGCCTTGTGCAAATAAAGAACCACAACAGGTCTTGGGAAAAGCTTGGCAAAAGGCATTTTAGGACAACCAGGAAGAGTGGAAACTGGCTTTTCATGAGGCTTTCCAAGGCTCCAAAAACTCCAGGAGATGGTAAGGGATGCCCAAGCTTACTGGGACATGACGTTAGGCATGTGCAGTGGCAGAAAGTAGGACCCAGAAGACTTCCTTCTGGGGCTTTGTGATGGAGAAACACCATGCTTGTCCACCCAATCGCAGCCAGTAGAATTTAAGGACACCTGATTTTCATCTTACAGGGCTAACTCTGGCAACATGAAAGTGATGCTAATAAGCCAACAAAGAACTATTATTCAGCAAATAAGGAAGTTGAGCAGGCAGTGATGATACAAAACAGATTAGATACTCATCAAAACAGAACTGTTGGAAAGGGCTACCTGAACAACCATGGCAAAACCCTCACACCTAAATATACAGAAACCCAGGGCAAAAAAGAGGCTATCATGGTGCCCAAAACCAAAAATTGGAAAATATTGCCAGAACAAACATTCTGTAGGTCAACTTAAAAAGATGATTGTCAATTTAAAAAGATTATTTTAAAATCTAAATTTGTGGTCTGAAAGGCTAAATGGAACACATATTTTAAAAACAGGTCAAATGAACTAATAATAACATACTTTAATGAAAGAGCATGAGAGCAGCTTGCTGATGGAGACAAGTTTCTGAAGGGTGAAGCAAGAACTTGAAGAGCAGTGGAAGAGGCCTACGCATGGCTAGGATGTGTAAGAGGCGCACAGACAGGCCAATCGTGC